GCAGAGAAAGTCAGAACCCTTGGCTTCTCCCCGGAGACCACCCACAGACGCCACATGAAGATGGCCAGACACCCCTCCTCTGCTTCAGGAGCCCTACAACCCTTGCTGGCTGCTGTGGATGCAGCCTAAGGCCGCCCTGGGCCTCTCCTGCTGTCCACCTCCCACCACCGCTTGGCCAAGCTCTAACTGCTGTCACGTATCCAGCACCTTTCGGTTGCCCAAATGGCCTGCAACGGGCTGCAGGATGGTTAAGCCCTCCCCTCGTGCCCCTGCTTGGGGGCTTATTTCTCACTGTAGGGCTGGGTCTGTGACCCCAAGAGCAGGGAGCCACTTTTCCCACGGGGCAGGGGAGGCGAAGAGCAGAGCTGGGGCGCCGAGCCATCAGGCCCAGCAGCTCCCACAGCCCAGACGGGCCTCCCTCCGACGGCCCCCAAAGCCAGCGCTCCGGTTGCCTCTGCAGCAGCAGCCCTTGGGCCCTCCAGGGGAGTAACAAGGGGCAGGGAGGGGGGACTCAACTTCCCCACCGCTAAAGGCGTTACCTCGAAGGTCAGCAGCCAGGTCCCTGCCCCTGAAGGGGCTGGGCAAAAGTTTACAGGGATTCCAGGGGTTTTAAGCCAACAATCAGGATGAAGGGGATTCATTTGACAAGGCTGCTGCTGGCAAGCTCAGGCTCTGCTTTTGGAGCAGCGTGCAGGAGCAGCTCAGCCCAGCATTCCTCTCCTCCTCTCCGCACCTACTCTCCACCACGGAAGGAGACATCATCTCCTGTAGCAGCTCTGGATGCAGTAACACAAGAGCGCCCCGGGAAAGCGCTTTCCCCCCCAAGACAGAGCACCCCTTCCCCTCCCCACAGCTGGTACTGCTGTGGCCCAGGAGCTGTGCAACACCAGGCTCTAACGGCACAAACCACCCCCCTGGGAACCCACACACCCTCTCCAGCACCCCACCAGCCTCACCACGAGGTCCCCGAAGCGCCGGGCTGGATGTCGCAGCTCTCCCCCGTGCTCAGGTTCCTCGTGTAGATGTTACCAGCTTCCAGAAATGGAAAGAAATTCGGGCAAGCTCTGAGCTGCTCTGCTGCAGCGGGCAGGAAGGCAGGCAGGGTCTGGGGTGAGCAGCGACCTGCCCCACCGGGCGGGTGATGGAAAGGAAAGGGCTCGTGCACCCCTCTGATGGCTGAATTCTTGGCAGCAGGGGCAGAGAGATGCCCAGGGTCCTTGGCTCCTAGCCCCCTTGGCAAGAAGCCCTGCTTGAAGCTCTCGGGCTGGAAGCAGCATTTACTGAACGAGTACGGTCTGCAGTCCTGCTGCAGCTGTCAGTGCTTTGGGGGAGCAGAGGAGGACGGTGGGGAGCACCACCAGCTCCCTAAAGGCTCCCCATTCCTTCTGCCTCCGAGTCCTCCCACTGGTACCGGGCGCTTCGCCACGCACAAACCCACCTTCCCGGCACTTGGCAAAGCTGAGGGGCCTTAGGGACCACACACGAGCTTCTGGGCTGGACAGCTGCTGAGACAGGGGAGAAAAGCCCTTGTCCTCCCGTGATACCTGCAAGTCCACCTCCCTTCTTCCCCCCAGGCGAGCTCTTCACTGAAGGGAGAGGAGGCTCTGCTCGCAGCAGCTCTTCCCCCTCATGCAGACACCCACCAAAAGCTGAGGAAGTCTCTCATTAGGAGCCGTTCCCTGCTCCATCCTCTTCACCAACCCTTAGCTCTGTGCCACCCATTTCCTGCTCCCCCTCCCTCAGCATCACGGGGCTTCCACCCCTCCTCCCCCTCTCCCCAAAAGCTGGCAGCTACTGCCTCCTCCACAGCGCCAGGCGGCCCTACCTGCTGGGGAAAACTGGGCCCTGTCAGGCTGCTGGTGCTGCTCCTAGGGTCTCACTATCCTGTCACACCTTTGCAGCGGCTGCCGTTTGTGATCTCTCTTTATTTAGGTCAATACAGCATCTAAAATAACAGCACTTGGGCTAAGACATCCCTCTAACACTGAAGGCTGAAATGTTCCACGAGCCGAGTTTGCCGCGACTGCTGGCACTCGTGAAAAGCGACCAGTTTAGGAGGCAGACCTGCTCGCCTCAAGGCTCAGCGTCCCGCTGCAGGGGACTCCACGCTGCAGCACAGCAACGGTCCCCCCTTCACACAACACACCAGCTCCACGGGGGGGGTTTTTAGGTAGGTGCCGCTAAGTCAGAAGCCAGGAGACAGCGTGAGAAGGAAGGAGTTACAAAGGAGTGGCAGGAGGAAAAAAAAAAAAAAGGGTAAGAACATTCCTTGAAATCAAAGAGGCGGAGGCTCAGATGGTTTTGTTCCCTCTGTCCTTCAGCACCGAGGCCTGGCCTTAGCCCTACTCCTTGCACGGCCCAAGCAGAGGCTGAAAAAGCGGAGCCCACGGGTGAGGGGGGGGACTTCCCTCCCCTTTTCCAAACTAAAGTCGCATTTGTAGTCAGAGGGGTGTCCCGAGTTCTGCAGCAGGATGGGGCTGCTCCCAAGAGCGCGTGCTGACGGGAGGGGCTGCACAGGCAGGACGAACCCCTCTGCCAGAACAGAGGAGGACAAAGACCCAAATGCAGCCAACGAGAAACACCGGAGGATCGAACGCTCTCTACCGTTTAATGGCTTTTGGCTCACATCGTGCCACCTTCCCACCCTCTCCCGGAGCCTCTCGGTGCCGCTCTGGCGGCAAGAACCGCTCCGTGCCGGGAGCAGGATCTGCTGCTGCGACTGGTGCTCTGCGAGGCTCCGTCCGTGCAGAGAGCGGGCAGCATCGTTCTGTCAGCGGGAGCAGGAGCAGCAGCGTGGGAGCTGCTCAACCTTTCAGACCAGCAGAGCAGAACTGCGTCACACCAAGCTGTCCTGCCCACCCCCCAGCACCCCAGGGGTGTCAGAGTTTGCTCCGAGCGAACTCCAGCGCGGCCGTCAGGGCTCCCTGCAGGCCCCTGGCGTGTCCACTGCCCTTGGCCACGACGGCAGAGCCTCCTGCCTTCCCCTCCATCCGCCTGCAGACGGCCACGGCCCAGTCGGCGGCGGAGAACACGGGGAGGCAACGCTGGGGAAGAGACACGGACCAAAGGAGTTTGGACTCCGGAGCTCTCTGGGTAAAGAAAGGCACCAACATCCCCTCCTCACCCAGCCTGGGCCCTCACCACCCGAGGCAGTCACTGCAAAGGCCGAGCTTACACGTCAAGGTCGTGTCCTGCCCACGGGCAACCACGGCCTGGAGGATCCAGGGGTGTTTGTGCCCAGCAGTGACTGAAAGCTTATCTGGTCCCAGTTTGGTCATCTTAGGTCCTAGCCCTGCATGATTTCACCACCAACACCGGGCAGAATCCCAGGGGGACCTGCTGAGCAGTGGGTCCAGCCCCTCTCTGCAGGCAGGTTCCCCGTGCCCACCAGGGTTCTGCTTACCTTGGACACCTGACAGGCGCAGAGCACCTCCCCAGAAGGCTGAGGGCTGAGCAGCAGCACCGACGTGCCAGGAGACTTGTCACACAGCTGGTTCACCACCTTCATGAGGATCTGGGGGGAGGCAGGGAGCAAAGGGAACAGGGATGTGGCAGAAAACAATGCCCAGCAGCTCCCTCGTACCGTGGGGAGCACCTGAGGTACGGCTGGGCCAACAAGGCCCGTGGGTTACTCACAGAGAGGGAGTCAGCTGGGACGGTGTCAATGATGAGAGGTTGGTTGCAATGCTTTGCTAGCAGGCCTTGTGCCTTCTCTTCAGCCTGGAGGAAGAAACACACAGCACTGGAGGGGCTGCAGGGTGGGCTGGGCGGGAGTACGTGTGTGCCAGTACGTCGGGGATGGAAGTGCTGCTCTGTGGGACAGAGCGGGGGATGTCTGTCAGCAGAAGGAAGACCAGCGGGCTGAAATCTCCACACGAAGGTCTGTACCTCCCTCCTTCCTCAAGAGCAAGCAGAGATGAAGCCCTTTCGAAAGGGGAACGGAGAGTTAAGCTATTTGGTCCCCAGCCTCTCTCCTGGACCTACACATTGCCCCACATCTCGGGCAGGCTCCTGTGGCAAGAGGCTCCTGCTTCAGGAAAAGCTCTTGCTGAGAGCATTAAGTCATGAACAAGCATTTCCAAAGGGATTTTAACGTAATCATGTAAACCAGCAAGACACAGAGGCAGTGGGAAGCCAGAGCAATATCCACACGGCCGGGAGAAAGGCTCTGGCCTGCCGCTGTCTCGCTGTGTGACCTTGTAAAGTCCGTTTTCAGGGCCACCTCATCTTCTCCACGTATCAACAGCAAAGTGATACCGATCCCCTCGCTGGTGTTTGCCAAAAGTGCCGATAGGGAGCTCTCCATCCTCACAGGCAGAGACACACAGGGATTCTGCAGGTGCCAAAACCCCAGTCAGTCATCCCCTGCTTTTTAAACGGTGGCTGTGGTTAACACCAGTGAAACCAACCCAACACGGGGCTTGTGTTGCATCACGTGTGATTTTACCTGCTTTATTCTGCCCCCCCTAACGGGGCCCTAGGGACCGAGTGGCTGTGAAGTGTGACACCGACACTAGGTCCACTGGTACGTGCCACATTTAGCAGGCTGGAAGTGTGTTCCCGCCCCAGTTACCTGCTGCAGCTCCAGTTTCTTGACGGCTGTGTTGGCTGTGCGCTGGAGTGCTTTGAGGATGGCCTGCAGTTCTTTCCTTTGCCACTGGGGCATCGCAGTGCTAGCCACCACCTGCGAGACAATTTGCTGTGTCAGGACACTACCTGGAAATAAAACTGCCAGCTCTCTGGGAGGCCAGGCTGCAAAACTATTTGCAAACTATAAAGAAAATAATTATGTGGTTTAAACTTATACACAAGAAAGGCTGTTCTAGGACACAGCACTTCCAAGGTGTTCAGATAGCTCTGAGGCACAGGTCAAAGGCAATAACGAATGCAAGAGCTAGAGACAGAGATTTGTACTAAACCTGAGGAGCAGAATCTGCATCCATTTCCCTCATTTAATACTTTATAAGCAGCAGTAGAAAGTGTAAACAGCGGGGCTGCTGGACTAGCAGACCTAGGCTGGATAGACTCATAATCATTTCACTGTTTTCATATAAAAATTAAAAGCAGCCTGGCCCGGTCCCAGACCCTCCTGTGTGATCAGGGCGGCCAGTCACTGCGGCACGTAGCGTCCTCTTTTCAGCTGGGCATCTGGGGAAAGGCCTGGGAACCCTTTTTCGCTGCTCCGCCCTCCCCACCGCTGTCTCCTCTCACATTCCCCTCCAGCAGGGAGGCCGCCTGCACCAGGGGCACCTAGACACTGGCCGAAAACCTTTGTGACCAAAAGTGGCACCGCCAGGTAGCACCACGCCCTTCCTCCTGACCACGGTGAGACGTCAGCCCGGTCGGGAAGAAGTCATGGGCCTGAAGCACAGAGTAGCCCACGCTGGGATCTGCCTGCGCAGGAGTGTGATTCCTTACTTTGGTCAGCTGGCCCACTTCTTTGGAGAGGTTCTGCATCTCGGGAAGAGAGGTGCTCCTCTGCTTCATGCGTAGGGAGACAGAGTCCACCTCCACAGCCAAGCACTGGCCTACTTCCCGGGCCTGGGGAGGAGGAGGAGGAGGGAGAGAACGCTTCAAACGCAGCGACAGAAAGAACGAACGGGGATGGGGAAAGCGGGGAGGTGGCGGTAAGGCCGTAACCACTCAAGTACTGCTCAGGATCCAGCGGGAAGACACCTACGGGCCAGAGGCTTTAAGAACGACTGTCCCCAGGAGGCGCCGGGACATTGCTTTCGGGATGGCCACGCCCAGGGGAGCAAACTGTTGTGCGTTTGTGTTTCATCAGTATCTCACACCAAATCATCAGGATTTCAGCGAGAAAAACTCGGGAGCCCCGGTTACTTCTCGGTGCTCTCTTTTCACGAGCAGATGGAATCTTGAAACGAACGGCTGGTGAAACAACAGAACCACTAACACTACAGAAAACTCGGCAGCTGTTCGTGCACGCTTCCCGAGGTCCAGCTCAGCTGCTCTTCGTGCATTTGCTCCTTTCCCCAACACCAATGCTACTGTTGACAAAAAAAAAGCTAATACAAGCTGGTTTTCACCAGTGAAAATTGTTACGGTTTGGAGCATTTTCCTCTCTGCCACATCTTGGTGCCCGTAATGGTCCTGCTAGACTTCAGAGCAGGGCAGCAGAGAGCATGTAAGAAAAGCTGTGGGCAGCGAGGACTGCTCTGCCCAGCTAGGGTCACCCATCCCTTGTTCCAAGCCATCCCCTCGTGCCTGCAGTCTTCCCTTGTGGGGTGAACACAGGCGCCCAGCTCCTCTCGGGGGCTCTCCGGGTCGGCGCTTGTGGCCAAGCGCGCAGACGTGCCCTGCAGCTTCTCACCCCTCTGCACCACGAAAAGCCTGGCTGGGTGCACAGGGGGCAGCCAGCCTCAAAGCAACAGATTTGCAGGGGTGGGCTTTGCCTTTAGTCTTCCCACTTTCAATGACAGTGAGTCACTTTGCTCCGACTGCAGCCTTAAAGGAAGCAGGCAAGGCTGCAGTGCCCCTGATGCTTCCAGATATTCCAAGGACAGAGCAATCTCACGGACACAATGATAGGTTGCTTTTTATTCAGACCCACCCAGACCAGAACCACAGTTTAGCAGGAAGAAAAAAAAAAAGACTAAAGAAAAGCAGCAAAAAAGGGCTGCAAGAATGAGGCCAGAGCCCTGTAACCATAAAGTGCAAATCCAGCTGTGACAGGCAGGAGGTGACAGCAAAGCACAAAGGATCACACTTTTAAATACCGACCTGGGGACTGAAATTTATAGTCTAAAGGCTTCCTGACAGTTTGTGCCAAGTTCTGATCTTGGAAAAGGGGATCTGAGGGGAGGAATGAAGGTCAAGCAGACAGGAGACTGGGATGGGAGGAGCGGAGGTGAATAGTAGGGTACAGACCCGGGTCCAGGGGTGGAGGAGGAGGGGGCCAGATCAGGCATAGCAGGGAGGCTGCAGCCAAAGCAGAGGGAAGCTGCTTGTCTAAGCAGGAACCTACAAAGTTGGGTCCTTCTGGCATTGCCTGGACCCAGCAGAAATCTCAGTTCCCCCTTTTCTTACCTGTTTGGCTTGTCCCCCTGTCACTGCAATGACACGGCTGACCCCTTTAACGAGCTGACGCTCACTGACGATGGTCAGATCTTCCACAGCTCCTGTCTGCAGGAGGTGCCTGCAAAGGCAGCAGAGAAGAGGACAGAGAACAAGCTGCTCTCTGGGAACAGGCAGCGGGAAGCCTGCTTGCCTTTTAGACAAGTCTCAAGCCCAGCAGCCCCTCCCCAATCCCCATAGCTTCAATCCTTTCCCATCCCTAAAATCCCGATGGCACCCTGCCAGGCAAGAGACAGCAGCGTTGAGGCTACTCCAGGGGAACCTCTGGGCTACCTGCCCAGCAGGCTGCTGTCAAATGGGGCCTAACAGCCAAGTTCTTGCTTTCCTCTCCTTCAGCAGTGGGACAAACTGGGAGTTTTCTATTCAGCTGCTGTTGAACCTTGTAGAAAGTAGTTTTTTCCTCCAACTCCACCACTCTCCTGTCAGGCCAGGTCACAGCCTGGCCAGCAGACTCCAGTCACAGGGCACCGATAACCTCCCCTTTCCTTCCCGGCTGTTCAACACGGGATACAACAACAACTGCAGTGTCTCTGCTTCTGCTACCACGAGTAATCACTTCAGCTTCACCAGAATTGATCATCTCCACTCCCATGCAGCTTCTTGTCCTGCTACTCCCACCAGAATGATCTCATGACTAGAAACTTGCTCATTTTCAGCTGTATCTACTCAAAAGGCCAATTTGCTCCTGTTTTTTTTGTGTCAGCAATGTCCTAAGATTGATTAACTCTTCTCCTACTCCGATTACTGCTAAAAGCAGAAGAGGGCAAAGATAATTAATTAAAATAATCAGAGCCATCTCAAGATCTTGTAACCATCTCAGAGCCTCCTGCTGGGTCCCCAGCCCTCCTGCAAACCCCAAGCCAAAGCAGTGTAACTCTGGTGTGACCGGACACACACCCCTTTCCCACACCCTGCTGGTGCCCTGCGGCTTCCAGGTTGGTTTTAGACTACGAAGTAAGGAAAAACGCTTTGAATGTCACTAAAGTTTTCTCACCCCAGGACTTCCAAAGCGTCACAAGTGCCCCACCCTCTCCTCACAAGATCTTTCTGGTGAGGAAAGTCAGTTGCACAGGCGCAGGGAGTGGAGCTTGCAAGAACACCTCTACCTCAGCCACCGCTGCCCGCAAACACAGCGTCTAACTGCAAGTAAATGTCACTTACGTCCCACAGCAGAGCTCCACAGAGGTCTGCATGGCAGCCTCAGAGTCGCTGGTCAGCACACTCTCCACAGGGACCCCCAGGGACACTATCCTCACTGGATCTGGATACCCCTGACAGAGGAGATAGGCATCAGCAGCTAACCACGTGGCCCTTCGGGGGCAATGCCAGACTAACTACATGGTTTCAGGCGTCTGCCTCATTTTTTTCCCTATTCTAGAGCGGCCCCAGAGTCTGGAGCAGCACCACTTCTCCCCCACAACCAGCCACCGTGGGGAGAAAGAAAACAACCGGGTGACACTACGAGCTTTTGGGCCAAAGAAACGAGCAGAAAGCCTCTGTATCACCAGCCTCCCTGTTTTACACCACAGTGTCCCAAGATCCTATTTCCCTTCCCGAGTCCTATTTTCCTTCCTGAGTTTCGGGAGTCAATTCCCTTCCAGAAACCAGTTGTGTCAACACCTCTGGCGACCCAGAAGAACCCTGGTGAAGGAGCAGGCTCGTGAAGACGCGTGCTGCCATCCTGACGTACCCCATCCGCCGCACGGAGCCCCTGAACTCTCCTCGCCAGCGCGAGGGGGACCTCGGCCGTGTGCACCACCTCGTTTCGTCTGATCACATCCTGGGCCACCTGCTCCACTTGCTGCAGCTGCTCCACAGTCACGGGGCCCTGAGGAGGTAAATGAGCCACCTGAGAGGCACAGAGCAAAGGAGGAAGAACTGGGGCAGAGCCCCCAGGCGACACCACTCTCCCCCCGTGTCACCTCCCCCACTTGTGAAAGGGAACCGCGAGCCTCACGACCCTCCCTGAATAAGGATTTTTGATCCAAAAGCATCAACCACACTCTTGTTCAAGAGAGATGCTGCAATGACTGACGGGTCATCGGGCCCAGTGCCCAGCCGAAGCCAACAGCTTCCAGTTCCCAACCCCTGGATGACCAGCACAGACACCCGAGACGTGCCACAGCCAAGCTGGCGAATCTCTCAAAGACCATTTTACACCACCCAGGCCAGTCCCATGACCACTGGCCTTGCTGAATCCTTCCCCTTCTGATGGCCATTCACCCCCTCAGCAAGGCCTGCTCAGAGCAGGTCAGTGCAAAGCAGAGCCATTATCCTGCACTTCATTTTTTTTTTTCCTGTAGTCTGTTTTCTGAGCTTAATGTGTCAACTTGGTTTTCCTTCAGTGATATCTTACATATGGTGGAGAAAGAAGAGATGCAAAAACTCCCAGGCAACAGACAGGCAGACAAAACAGTTTTAGGCAGCAGCTGGGTTTTGTAGACAAAAAACTGAAGTGCAGGATAAGTCACACCCAGAGGGACAAGTTTCGTTGCTCAGCTAAAACGTGACCTGTCTCTAAAGGAGCGACTACGGTGAGAGGAGAAAAACTGGCCGGAGAGAAGGCCAGCACGGAGAGGTTGGTGCTGCTGAGCGCAAGGAACCGCAAGTCCAGAGTCACCTTTGTGTCAAAGTCGAAGCGCAGCCGCTCTGCCGTCACGTGGGACCCTCGCTGCTCCGTGCCGTCCCCCAGGACGCGGCGGACGGCGAAGTTCAGGAGGTGGGCAGCGGTGTGGTTCCTCATGCAGGCCAGCCGCTGGGCCTGGAAGCACAGAGAAGGTGGCAGGGAGTGCTGGTTCTCCGCAGCTCAGGGCAGCAGGGGGTGGCACGGAGAGATTAAGGGAAAGGCTGCACAGGAGGGGACGGGAAAAAATAGGGGAAAACCAACGGGTAGTACTGCTCTCCGATTAATTTACGCCACAGGGTAGATCTACCTCCTTTTCCCATGGGATCCCCTCTGTTAAACAGCGAAGGGCAGGCTGGATACCTCTGTACAGCCCAATGGCTCACAGAAGATTACAGAGCCGCTTGTGAGGTCTCCTTCCCACTGCCCATGATGATGAAGAGCAGTCTCAGGATCACAAGGGACAAGGCTCTGCTGTACCCAGGTTACTCAGGGCTTCACAAGACTCTCAAAACAAGGCTGGGAAGAGGTTAAGAGCAGCGAGTTATCACCTCATCCACAAAGAGCTGCACTCGGTCACCAGCACGCAGGGTTTCCACAGCAGTGACCTCATGGATCACGTAACCACCACAGAGACGAGCTGACTCTACGGGGAAGAGTATGTCCTGAGCAAAGAGACAAAGAGCTGAGTCAGGACACAGGGAAAATCCAAACACCTGTGCTAGGTGCCTGCTCGATCCGACTGGGAAACACAACCCTCACTGATCCCTAAAAGACAGGGATGGGGTGGGAAAAGCTTGCTGTGAATGCAGCCAGAGTGCCTCAGACCTTCCCCGCACCCAGCCACTTGCTGCACAACGTGTTGAGGCCGCCAGCTTGCAGTGGAGGGGCAGCAACACCACCCGAATTTTCCTAACAAGGATGCTTGTCCATGAGAAAATGGAGAGCAGCTGCCAAGGCACCTGTCTCGGGCATCCAAGGTGCCATTTCTGCCTCCCTGGGCTGGCAACAGACACTTGATCCCCTCTTCAGCTTTGGGAGAAGCGCTGAGCAAGGCACAGTCACACTCTGCAAGGCTAAAAAGGCGGCGTCGATACCCAGGGGGGATTCTTGAGAGCTGGAACCCAGGTAGGAGAGGAAAGCTGCACCCTGTGTCGCTTCCCAGGAGAGGGCCAAAGCTCTGCCTAAGGCTGGAGGAACATGCTGCAGAAGCAGAGGTCCTCCTGGATGGTTTTGGGAGGGATAAGGGTTTTGGCACGGCGTCTCGGGTTGGACGCTGCTTGCAATCGTCCAGGACTGGCCAGAGACAAGTTACTGAGCTCGTGGACTCTGTGATCACCGATTGCCTTCTCTCCGCAGCGCAACCCCAGCTGGCAAGAGGGCAGCACACCGAAGGGAGAGCCAAGAGGGCTTCCCCAGCGAGCTGAAACTGCAAAGGGCTGAGAGAGACCCCCCCCCCCCCCGCACGCCAAGT